AGACGGTTGTCAAATTGCGCTGTCACCAGTTTGGTTGACACAAAAAATGGAACAATGCTAGTGAGGGTTTTCAATCCAACAGCTGACCTCATGACGGTCTATAAGGGGAGTCAGCTAGCATTGTTCTCACTGACAGATGACTTTTACGTGGTTGAGATGGGGGGGGGCAGGCCAGAGCTGCCCAGCGTTGCCCTTTGGCCAATGCTGGGCAGAGGAAAGTAGCCCGAGAGGAAGTGCAATCTCATTTGCAGGACCTTTTAGATCGAGGAGCTGCGGGCCTTACAGAGTCAAGCACTCCAGGCTGGCAGAGCTTCTCTCTAAGTTTCGGAGGTGTTCGCAGGTCCAGACGGCAAGCTTGGGCAGAAAAATTTGGTCCAGCATAAAATCAATATGGGAACCACAACTCCTATACAACAACCACGAAGGAGGCTGCCGCTTCACAAACGGCGGGAGGCAGAGGAAGAAGTAGACCAAATGTTGCAGCAGGGTGTAGAAGAACCCTCTAGTAGCCTGTGGTCCTCGCTAATGGTGCTCGTCAGGAAGGACAGCTCTGTTCACTTTTGCGTGGGCTAACGGAAAGTCAACAAGGTGACACTGAAGGATGCCTACCCCATTCCTGGGATTGAGGACAACTTTGACACTTTGAGCGAGGCGAGGTGGCTTGGCACGCTTGATTTGGCCAGTGGTTATTGGCAGGTCAGCATAGACAAGGAGGACCAGGAGAAGACAGCTTTCAGATGGAGTCATCTCAAATCTCGTCCAGGACAAGTTGCAGTAAAATTGTGGGGAGAGTGAATACTTTCTCCGCAATTTCCCCGCAAGTAGCAGTTCATTTATTGAGGGGCAGTTGTGGAGGAATTTTGCATGAAGGACTGTTTACATTACTATCTTAAGTGGCTTGCAGTTTCCAGAGACTGACCTTGGGTCACTCAACACACCATGATTTTTTGTCAGTTGTTTCATCTCTGTCGAACGTACAGAAATTATCAATCACAGAACAAAATGTTGAATTTCATCAAGTGAGGGTTACAAGTGAAGTTCAGTTTACTCATAAGGCCCAGACAAAGATATGCTGTAGTACAGTATACACATCAACCCTGACCGTCTAGGAAGTATGTAAAATCTTCTTAATCAGAGGATTGAGGACTGTTAGGGCCATCGGTATACACAAAGAAACATTGATTTCAAACATCAACAGAAAAATAATGCAAACATCAATTTCACACATTCTTCCAAAAGTACAACTTCTTATTGCCTATTGAAATGGACAATTGATTATATTTATCAACTGCAGTATCTGTGAGTGCACAGCAGCACCAACTGTGAATGTGGAATTTACATGTAAATGTATGTTAAGAAATATATTAAAAATATTGAGGTTGAAGGATTATCAGAGTTAAAGAATGCTCAAGTGTCCTTACTATTTATTAAATATTAAGGAAAAACTGCATTAGTGCTTTAGGACATTTTACTATTGTGTATTAACCAGTTCAGTTTTTTTTTGCCCTGAAGATTTCCAGACATACTTAAGAAGACATGGAACACACTGAAAATGTCAGGATCTTGTGAATGCTGAAAACTTTGCATAATACTTCCAAAACTTGAGTTAACAATTTCTGCAATAATCTTGAAAACAAAACAGTTGCTGAAATGAAATGGTATTTTGATGAAGTTCTGTAGAACAGTCTTGATACAAATTGCATTTCCATCGACAACACCTGGGACACACAGCAGATCGCGCACAGATATGCCTAAGCATAAACTGTGTTCATGTAAATGTATTTACAGAGTCAATGGGTTTGAAAATGTGTACAAAGTCAATGAGACAAATTAAATGTTCAAAATTAAATAATAAATCATTTCATGATGTCAAAGTGACATCATTCTTCTAGAACTACATGTATCTATGCTGTATGGTCTTTGCTTAGACCAAATTTCATTTTGTGGAGTGGCCGAGGTCCATGCCATTCTGGCAGTTGAAAAACATGTACAAAACCTATGGGGAAAAAAAATGAAGGAACTATTGTGCCATGCAAAATAAAGCTGTACAAAATGAACCGGGTTTTGGCAGCTTTGGCATACTGAAAAGAGCAAATGAGCACTTAACTCAGCAAATGAGCAGCTAAAAAGCAGGAAATGAAGGAAGGAGCAAAGGAATGAGCAGGTATATACTGCATTTAACAATTTCATCTGTTTCTTGTCATTTGAAGATCATCTTTCTGAGAGTCAACATGAATGTTATTTCTGCAGTCTAACCCCATACTTGTCACTGATGTGCAAAGGCATTGGACGGAGATATACCCAGTATATACATGTAAACGTAACCTACAGAGACATATAGAAAATGCACATGGAGCAGAGGAATCTGAAAGCGATGAAGTTAACGATACTGAAGCTATTCACTCTGAATATTCTGACGTGTAATACTGGACTCAATTTTAAAAAGTGCAGATTTTAAGAATCAGAAATAAAAATTTGTGGAGCTGAAAATAAAGACTTCCAAAGAAGATGCAGAATCCAAGACGGAGACAAAAGAGTTAGAAGACAATGGCACCTATTTAGATTGGTTATTAAAGAGTCAGTGGAGACCACCAATGACATTTGAAGTGAAAAATGTGAAAAATACATCAACAGGGCAATGGATGAAGATCAAGCCTAGGAAAAGGCCCATAGGAACGATCAAATGGGCAGTCAAGCAAATCTTTTTTGACAAGTACCGGTACAAGGATTTCATACCCGCATCTACATGTACATGTAGAGGTAGAACATGAGGATACCCACCGCGATGTTTTGGAAGACCCTAAAGACAAAGTAAAGAGAGGCATGGAAGTAAACAAACCCCTGAACATAGTAATGCATGTATGGGTTATTCCATGAAGTTCGGACACAAAACTTGACATAGAAGCCAATATTTGAAGTTGGGTTAAGAAGCCGTTCAATGGCAATTTCTGTTTGGCCATCTCATGTAGTTAATCAAACAAACGTACATTTTGCAACATTTTACCCTCAAAAACCGATCCAGGCACATCACAGCAGGAAGGTGATGGAGGTCACTGTAACGGGGAACGTCATTTCAAAATTGTAAAATATTGTAAAATTGATGTGTTTATCTTTTTAAGGCTTTTTATTTGTGGTTTCAAATCCGAATTATCTTCACATTAAAGACTCCCAAAATGTATTCCACTGCTGACTCGGACTCTGGAGTAAATGAAGCACAAAGCTCGCAAAAGTTCAGGTAAATCCAACTCACATTCAATTCAATTTAACAAGTTTTTACCACAATTAGTAAACCCAAATAATCAAGTAATGGTAGCATTCAAAATGAACAAAACAGGTAATGAGTTTAGTAAGAAACAGCAATTATATCACATTTCTATTCTCAAAATAACATCACCGATGCAACATTTGTATGTGACGACGTAGCGTCTTGATAAATCAGATGAGTACAATAAAACTTTGTCTGCCTATGAGTGGGAATGTAGCTCTATCCTGTACAACCTAATTAAACCTAACCTATAACCCGTTTTAAACAGTATACACATTAAATTTTGTTAAAATTAATACTTTAGGCCAGCAAAAATCACTGATGTAACAGGGACATTTTTTTTTAAATTGCCCAAAACAGTGAAGGTAATGATGTGATCATGCCAAATTATAAAAATATTTAATTTCATATTTATTTCTACATCATGTTCTTTTGTTTTGTTGTTAAGGAGTTTGTTTATTGAAAGAGAATCAAGAACTGATTCATGCTAATACATGTCACTAATGTTACAAGATATATCAGGGGACGCCACATTTAAATAGTCACAAGCAGCAAAGGTAAGTTCATTCTGAAAATGTTGTTTTCAAGTTCATTTTTTTCTCATCCCATGACAGATTGAAGGTTCTTTTTTGTTCTAATTCCAATTTACAAGTTGAGAAAATCCACCTTGCATTTTGTGTGCTCTTGCAGCCATTCCAAATCATGCTCTGCATGTATAATTTCACCGTCTTATTATACTAGATGTACATCTTTTTATCATTTTATTACATCACTCATAAACTCAAGTACAACTATTCTAGATGAGACCTGGGGTGGATTCACTTTGGGTTTTGACTTGATGGGTTACAAGTCTTATGTTGTAAATGTTAGTATGAAAACATTAAATATTTTAATGTTTTTTTGTTGAATGCTAGTTCTTGTTGACTTTTGACATTTATCATTTCTCTAACAATGTTTCAAAAGTAACACTGTTCCTACTAAACAATATATGATATTTTCCTCA